TACATCTTGCATTATTTTCATCTTTACCCTTGGCTCGGCTTCTTTCCTGCCCATACAAATTTGTTGATACCCTTCTGCCATTCTAAAAGATTCACATCTTTTTTAAGTATAGGTAACATTTGGAAGAGAAATAAAAATTTTGGTAAGATGTTCATTTTCACTGCCACTATCCTACCCAACAAAGATAAATTCAGGTTTTCCCATTTTTTCATCTCTGTCCCCCTTCCCTTTGAAGCAACCCCAAACATCTCACTTTTGGAACTGCCAGTGGCTGCCCAGCCCCCCAGAATGTCAGGGTTCCAAATAGCATCCAAAAGTAAATCAGAGTCCAAGGCAAAGTATTGCTCAAAGTTCCAATTTATTAAGAGAGCCACGTTGGCACATCTGGGAAAACCTGAATCTAAGTTTCCTGGTTTTCCCCACCTAATTGAAAGTTCAAGATCTTACACCCCCAAGTCCATCCCATAGTCCAATCTCCCACTGCCATGCTGGTAGCTTCCACCCATCCAGTTCCAGTCAGGTGCAGAGGGGCAGAGACAAAGGATGACCTTGGCTTTCTGGAAAGAATTTTGTTATGGCTACATATCATCTAACTCCGTACAATCCCCCGTCCCATTTTCCCACAATAGAAAAAAGGCATAGTAGAATAATAAGAAAGTGTGGCAGGCCAAAGATCCAAAAGAAAGCTGCGGGCCGGGCACAGAGTGCAGCTGGCAGCCCTCAGGACAGAAGGTCTCTGGAAGGACTTGCTGAACAAGACAAGAGTGCCTCCCTGTGATCACCTCCCTTTTCCTCCTCTAGATCGCCAGAGAACTGCATCAGTTTACATTTGACCTCTTGGTGAAGTCGCACATGGTGAGCGTCGACTATCCTGAAATGATGGCTGAGATCATCTCGGTGCAGGTCCCCAAGATCCTTTCTGGGAAAGTGAAACCCATCTACTTCCACGCCCAGTGATGGTGAGCGGCAGACGGGCCTCCTTTTCCTCGGGTCCCTGGACTCCTGCACTGCAGTGCCTTGGCACGCTGTGTGTCCTCAACAGACGCACAGTAACCACAAAGAACTCTTTGCTGGGCCCACTTTCAGGTTTCTGTTTTCTGCTTTCCCCCGAACTGCCTTCGCCTTGAGAGATCTACTCTGGACATTTGCCGGCTTCAGTGTCTCACCGTGTGCATGGACTTCCTCTTTCAGTTTTGTGGCGTGGTGCCTGGCGGCACTGTTTACATTCTTGTGCTTGTGCATTCCCCACCGTGGCTTTGGTGGCCCCTTTGCAACCAAAAGGAAGCGTCGGTTCAAAAAACGTCCATCGACGCTTTTCTGGTGGTTCTCCCTGCTGCTGTTTGTTTTCTAATTAATGGCAAGCAGGTCGTTAAATGCTGGGGATAAGGGGAAACTTTCAAGCTGGATGGGTTTTTTTGTGGGGGGGAGAGGGGTGTATTTTGGGTTTGTTTTAGCAGTTCTGGCAGCCTCTTTTTCGTCTCTCTGAGGAAAGGTCTGAAGTGTCCCTGGAAATAACGAAGAGACGCCAACCCCAAAGCAGACAAAGAGAACGTAGTTGACACACATGATCCGTGCGCCTGCTAGACTTTGGTTTCAGAGAGAGCTTTCTTTGCATATACAATCAGGCTCGAGACACCCAGCATTGGTCCAACTATGCACACAGAATAACAGGGTTGGAAGGGGCCTTGGAGGTCTTCTAGTCCAACCCCCTGCTCAAGCAGGAGACCACAGACAGCCACCGTGTTCCCGGCACTCAGACCTTCAGCTACATTTTCTCTCTTGGGCAGAGCCGTGGAGCCAGGGGTCACCCATTGCGGTGGCTGTTGTAGAAGACCACTCAGAAGATGCTCGCAGCCGCGGCTCCCTAATCCAGAGAGCCCCCTTCATGCAGTGGTTCTTGGGAGGAATAAGAAGGTCTGGAAGTTTTCCCAATGCCCAGAAATGATGGGGGGCCTCTTTTTTTTGCAGCTAGTACTACTTCATCTTTCTTCGTCTGTGGACCATGAGCCAGAAGTAAAAACATTTGCCCAGTGAATGTGAACACATTCCAGTTGTGAGCTTTTTTTAATCTTTCCATGGACTCTCCCTCCCTTTAGTACTCAGTTCTATTTTTGTTCCCTTCCCGCAGCTTCCAATGCTCTCCAAGTCTCTGTTCGCCTCCTCTTAGCTCTGCCTCTCGTTGCAGGCCATTCATTTCACTTCCTAGAGGCTTCCTTGGATCACTTGCTTTTTGCTGTATGGCGGAACTGTCTCAGAAATCGTACAACTTGGCGAGACTTCCTGGGAACCTCTACCCGCATTGTCCTAGCCCAGCCCAGCCCGGAACAATTTCTTCCAAACTTCACTTGAGTTCATGATGATTGTGTTAAACTGCAAAAAAACCAATGATGAATCCCTCTTTTCCTTTCTGCAACTTCTGTTGGAACAATAGGAGAAACTGCCTTATCCAAGGAGATAAGGAAAACTACCCTCCCCAAATTATACCTCTTTTTTATGGGAAACAAAAGTCCCCCCCCCTTTTTTTTTCTAACCCAGCTGCACCGTTGGTATCACTTACCAGGAATTCCCATGAGCTGGTAGCCAAAGATTCAGAGAAGCCATGTGGGTGAATTAGGTTTTTTGTTTGTTTGTTTTGCTTTGCTTTTCAGGAAAAAAAACACACCTGGGAAAAGAAAATTCAAAACATGCCATTGGATGTTAGTAGACGATAGTAAGAGAGCATATGAAAAGCCTGTGGTTATAATGAGAACATTATCTTGGATTATTTTTCTGTTAGGTACCACTTTTTAGCACAAGATGACATCTACTGAGAATAACAAAGGTGAAATTAGGATCAAACATTTGGAGAGCTGTTTGGCCCTCCTGAGGCCTGGCGTGATTCTTCATCTGCTGTGATTTCACGATGTCTTGCTCGGAGTTTGAAACTTGCCTGCCTTGGGTCATTTTGATCTGATGCTTAAGATCATTAATTACCTGGCCGTTGTTGTATCTTTGATGGATCCTGCACACTCCAGGCTTCAGCTAAAGGAAAAACAAGGTTAAATTTCTAGCAACGCTGAGTTAAAATGACCAGCATTCGGTTTCATCTCTGCAGGAACAAGAACAATAAAACAGCAATACATTGAATTAGCTTTTGCTTCTGTGTGATGCTGTCCATTGCATTGCTAAAATAAATCTATTTCGGCTGTTTTTTAATTTTTGGATTGTTAACAATAATTAGACAGAACCATTGAAATATGTCCCTGTTTTCGGTACTGAGGTTGCCTCTCCTCTCATTCTTAGAACAAACGGTGACAATGCTATGGGTGTTTGGACTTTCCTGAACCTTGTTCATGCCATCTCAAGAGATTTTTTTTGAAAAACACAACAAAGTTCTTTTTTAAAGACAAGAATCTACATTTTGGATGCTTGGTTTGAAAGCCTCCTCCTCCTCCCACATACATGGAACTAGATGAATTGCACTCTTAACCCTCCTTCCCTGTAGACTCAGTATAATTTCATTATTCGTTTTTTGGAATGTTGCCTCAGACGCCCCTATAAATGAATGAAGATAAGGCCATCAAATGTTGGGCAGAAACACCGAAATCACTTCTGTAGTTGACGAGCCCGAATGGCTCAGATCAGTGTGTTGATTCAACTTCCCTCCACTGCATCGTTCTTGTGATGTGCCTTCCACAGCGCTGGCTGTGGGGAACTGTGTCCGTGCATGCATGCTGTACTTGGTTTCAGGGTATTTTCCTCCCATGCTCAAATCTTCTGAAAATCTTGAAATTCAAGGGCAACATGCGTCTTCATGCTAAGCTGTTGCAAAAGGGCAGCGCTCCTCTTGATACCTTCAAGATCCATGCGCAACCAAAGTGCCACCTCTGGTAGACCTCTGCAATCTAGCATGGCTGCTTCATGTTTTTGATACCACAGTGAACATGCTAGATCTTCAAGTACCCCAGGATGGCTCATTTATGGTTGCTGTAACCTGTCGTCCAGCAGCTTGATTTCTCATCTGTCTCTTCAGCATCAAGCCATCTTCCGATGTGCATCAGGTCCAGGAGAAGCTTCGTTTTCTGGCCATTTCTGGAAGATTCCTTTCAAATCCTTTTTAATGAATGTCATGTAAATATTGGAGAATGGATTAGTGGTGGTCGGGAGTTAAATATTTACTTTCTTCAGCTTATTTACGGTGGACTACTGCTGCAGCAGTACTAAGGGAATTGTGGGGGAGGGGGAAGCTTACGAATTATGAAAAGCATTTACAAAATCATAGTCATCAGTCCATATTTTTAGTACCGTGCATTTTATGCATCAAAATTATTACACATTTTTAAAAGTGTACTTAAGCTTGAGTACATTCTATTCTGCCATATGATAATTGCCTTTTGTGATACAAGAAGCTATTTGCCAGACCCCAGTCGCTGTGAAAATGCACAGGATTGTAAAAAAAACTGACAAATGAGGGTGGGGGGGATGAATAATTGTCTTGCTGCTGCTGCCTCTGGCTCCTTCGCTCCAGAAGGGGGTCCTGTCCTCCACCCCGACTTCCCGGGGCATGCTTGATCTTGTTCCTTTGGCAGTTGGGAAGAAGGAGGAAGGCCGTAAATTGAAGGAAAGGGGCATTCCCATCACCAAAGAAAGGACCTACGCATTTGACCCTAGACAACATCACAATTCTGATGACAATGGCTGTGCATCACAGATTTGGGATTTCTTGTATTTTATTTTTGATGTGGGATGTATGTGCTTAAGAATCTTAGATTTTCTATAGTTAAAGATGCCTATATCCATGTTTTCCCCCCTTTTCTTTGGGAAAACTTTTTTTTCCCAATCCCGTCCCTTAATTTTACTGGAACTCTTGAGTTCTCTTTTTGTCTGAAGCACTTTGTAAAAAGCTTAGGCTGCTTCTGTGTTCACTTGTTGCAATTTTGACCGAAAGAATGTGTTTGTAATGTTAGTACCAAAGAATGTTATTTAAAGTGGGAAAAAACAGATTTCTGAATTAGTTGGACTCTTGCTCTGGGGCACATGGAGAATTCTCTGCCGTGCTGCTGGGATGGAGGGCCAAGGCAGAAAAGCATAGCACGAAAAGATGGTACGAATGGATTTCCTGGCCTGCTGAAAAGAGCAGCCAGCCAGAGGGGAATAGCCCTGTTGGTTGCATTATTTGCACTGGGTGGGGAGCCGGACCCTAATATTGCTCCCATTTGATCGTACGAAAGGTTTTTGATGCTCACAACTACTCAGAGAGTGGAAGAAAACTCTTTTGCCAGAGAGAGAGGGAGAGTTTTTGCAGCTCAGCCTCAATCTGGGCAGTGGACGAGGACGGGGAGGCTAAAGGTGGTAGAGCTCTTCTGTTTCCCTTACCTGTACCTGTGAGGATATTGCAAACCACTGGTAGAGGGAGGAGGGTCAGGCTGCGTCCAGAGGAGGACATAGCCTTCGTCTCTCTTGCTGGAAAGGAGTCCTTTGCCAGAGAAGATGGCCAGGGGAGGAGGACATGCAAAAGTTAGGACAGAGTCGAGCGAGACATTGTGCTGCGTGACACGGCTTTCATTCTTAGCAGAAGTAGACCGGTTTTGCATTGAATGTGTAGAAAGCAGAAGGGCTCCAAGCACCAGAGTCTGGTGCTTGTTTGAAGAGCCTGGTGGTGTCTGGGGGGTGGGGGGAGGGATAGACTTTTTTTTTTTTAGCATAGCTGGAGCCAGAAATAATTCTGTAAAAATTGTGGCACTTTTTTTTAAAAAAAAGTTACATTTGTTAATCTGCTTGTGTATTTTTTTAATTAAATCTTTGCAGACATAGATGATTGTTAGATGAGGTCACCCAACTGGCTGTGCACTGGAGTTGCGAGGGGGTGGAAGCTAGATGGACCTGTTCAAGTTTCTATGGTCTTAATACAGTCAAATAAGCTTGTGATGCTATAAAATATACATACCAGCCAAACAGCTGAAATATTGTCCTCAAAACAGCTGCCCACCCAGCTCTCCAGGGCCCAGGAACTGCCTGTCAGATGCCTGTCGAACAGCAGGAGATAAAGAATAATTTCATTAGGCTAAGAATTCATTGAAAGAATATGAAACAGAGGGATGGATTCTTTGTTATGGCCAATGGTCATAAAATCATTGCATAAATAAAACTAATGATGGTTGATTGATTGATTGATTGATTGATTGGGTGGATGGGCGAGCAGATCAGTCCAGTTGCTGTGCATTTTGCATATTACATGACACAATGTGGCCACACTTAAAGAAAATCATGGCCTTATATCCAGGAAGTGGTCTTTAATTAACGGTGCCAAAGCAGATAGAACCAGCCATTTATTTACCAGCCAATTGTCTACTGACACCGACAGAAGAACTTGTAATTGACTTTATTAGTGTCAGAATTAGACACACAAGTGTAATTCAGTGTCAGACACTTCGATGGAGATGCTGGGCACAACCACAGAAGCCGCTGCAGCCACAGGTCTTGCGATGTGAGGCTAGGGCAAGCAATCTTTTCTGGTGGGTTGCAGCTGTACGTCCCAGTTGCAGAGGCGAAATACCTGAGAGCCCATGTACACCCAGCCTCAAGGGACAGAAGTCAACTGGGAACTGTTAAGGAGAGGATGTTACAAGACAAAACATCAGCCTTTTGTTTCTGACTTCATTAGTATGTTGTGTGTTTAATAGAAGGTGACAGTTGTCATTGGACAGAGGGCAAATTTCATGCTGTAAACCGGTTCTGATCTTTGTAACCTTGGATTCTATTCTTCCTCCAAATACAGTTTTAAAAAGCAAACCTTGATTGTCTGAATCCGTGTCTACAATTCCTTTCTCGGCTACACAGGGAGAGTGGCTTCTACGCTTTGATACTGTTTCTTGGTTATTCATCTAGACCAGTGGTCCCTAACTCTTTCTGGCTCCATGGACCGGGAGGTGGCGGAGGGAGGGGGTGGTTTGATGCATACAACCTAAACCCTGCATGTGTGCAAATGGAGCTTCCCACGCTCATCCACCACTTCCACAGCCCAGTTCCTAACAGGTCGTAGACTGGTACTGGTCCATGGACCTGGGGGTTGGGGGACTCCTGATCTAGACAAAACGAGTGTGAGACAAACATATGCAGAGGAAGCATTTCAAGAGCATTTTCAAGCTACTTATCAACACTCAATGCTGTTATAGGAAATCAGTCTTATTGACGAGAAAAGAAATATTTAGCTTACATAGATTATTTAAAAATATGTTTTACAGGAATCTGGGTAATAAATAGAATCTTTTCTTATCCCTTCCAGCTGGGCCTAAATATGTTTAGTTTTTCTGCATGGTTCTTTTCTTTTTCAAGGTGGCAGGGAATATATTTATATTCTGAATAATAACTTACATCTTTCTAAGGACAAAAGTGGCCACCGTCGTTTCCTGCAAATACTTCTTAGGCAACTGCACTGGAATGACTCGTTTGCAATAAGTGTAAAGAAGAGAAAATGGCCAAGCCAAGGGTGGTCCCCCCTGGATGGGACCTTGGCTATTCAGACAACCTGCCTGATTGGCTGGTCCCAGGTGCTCATCCGAAGAGCATTTCTCAGTTCAGGAGCATTTCTGCAAGATGTCAGCAAAGCTGAGTGATAATGCAGAAGTTCCATGTGAAGAGCACCTGAAAGCACCTTTCCTTGGGAATGGGAGGGCATCAGACTTCTCAAGGGATGAGAGGAGAACATTCCTGAGGCCTTGCTCATATGGAGGTGATGCAGTCGTCAAAGTGGCACTGAACCCACCCACTGCCAGGTCTCCAGTTTAGTATGTTAATAAGACACATTATCCAGTGTTCCTGCTGTTTGCTGAAGAGACAAGCAATATCTTGGGCAATATTGTCCAGTGTCCAATCTTCCCTTTCTGAAGAAAGTAATCAGATAGCAACTTCATAAGATCTTGGAGGAAGCAGGTAATTTTGAATAATTTCAGACTGGGGGATAGTACCCAGGCAGTATTGGTCACACTTCTCAATGACCTTTGATGAAGCTAGGAAAGCAGTGCTGCATCCATCTGCTGCTGCCTTGACCACTCAGTGGTTTTTGATGCATTGACCACTCAGTGGTTTTTGATGCATTGACCACTCAGTGGTTTTCAATGCCATTGACCAGCTATGGAGACTGGGAGCAGTAGGCACTATGCTGCACTGTTTTGTCCCCTGCCTCAGTGAGGTTATCTGTCTGCTTGGGATTTGGTACCATCAGAATGTTAAATCCTGGGCTGCAAGATGACGCCAGGGTTCTGACTCAGTGTCTGGGGGCTCTTTGGGTCTGGATGGGGAGAAACAAACTTCAGTGCAGTTCAGCCCTTGGCTCAGAGATGTTTTCACTTTGGTTGTCTTGGATGGAATTGCACTTCTCCTCCAATATTGGCCTGCAACTTGGGAGTCCTCTGGACTCTCAGCTTGTTTCAAACAGGTTCATTTTGTGGGTCAGTTGCATCAGGTCTTCAAGCCCTTCAGAGAGTCACGATTGCCCTGGATTTTTAAAAAGCACTGCACGTGAGCTGCTCTTGAAGACCATCTGGAATCTACAGCTAGAGCCGCTTCAAAATACAACATCAGCAGTTATGGGCCCTTCTTGTTCTTCTCGTGTGTCACTGCTGCTATTTTAATTGCATTGATTGCCAGCTGGCTTCCAAGGGCAATTCAAGGTGTTGATTATTGATAAAGCCATTCATGGCAGAGGGTCTGGTTATCCAGAGACCACCAATCACCATTTTTTTCTGCCCATGACAAAGTACATTTGGATAGCGTGGGTGTCCCATCAATTCCAACATCTTCTGGGTCTAAGGAAGCAAGGCGGTTACAGCTCCTGTCCTCTGGAATAGCATCCCAGAGGAACTCTGCTCTTTTATCACTGAAGACATAGACATTTGATGTCAACAAAACCATTTGCTATGTTTTGTTGCCAATCGAATACATAGTCACTAGGATTTGAGCTTCACTCAAAGGAGACTGTGCTCCCTCTAAGACTGGAGAAAGAGCCACCACTGACTTGGTCAAGTGGATTAGCCAAGAGGCAGACCCATCCCATGGCTGTAGCAGTGCTGCAATTAGTAGATTTTCTCCCCAGCTTTGCTAATAAGGGAATCCAGCCAAGACAAAAGTTGACACCAACACTTTGCCTATCATGAGCAACGATCAGAGCACCATTGGCTATGATTCAAAAATGATGATGGAGACAAGAAGAGAAAATGTCAACTCTACATTATCTCATTCCAATGGAAGGATTGTTAGACAGCACGTCAACTTCAGTTGAGATTTTCAAACATGTGTACATGTAACAAACAGAATCCATAACCATAATTTGCTCTGCCTGGACCACGATTCCAACGTGAGGGAACTGGCAATAAATCTACTCTGCAGTTTTCTGCCCTTAAGGGGTGATAGTGTATGAGAATGACCTTGAGGGATGAGGGGAAGAAATGCTGTTTAGAAGACAATCATGGAAAAGAGGAGCCCCCTAGTGGCTTAAGGGTTAGAGGAAGAAACTTAGAAAGGACCCGGCCTAATGGTTAGGGCAGTTAAAGTCATAGCTTGAATTTTCTACCTTCAGACTGGCAAGATTTTGTTACTGTAGCCTACAAGGAAGAAGTCCCATTTCCTGCCTGGTTTATCTGGGACATAGGGATAGGATCCTTTCCCAGTTAGCTCTGAGGAAACAATTTAATCCCTATGTCAATTATTATAAGCAGTTACGCAGGAGCGGCTATTTGTAGAGCTGCAGCCAGACCTAGTTCCCGAGGAGTAAACTAATGAGACACACATGTTCTAAACTCCTTACATAACATTGGGCTAAGAACAACCATGCTCATCACCAGAAATAAGTGCATGTGGATGTCCAGTTGGGGAGGTGAATGAGGAGGAATCGGAATAGAGCTGAAAGGGATCTTGGAAGTCTTCTAGTCCAACCACTTGCTCAAGCAGGAGACTCTATACCAATGATGGCAAACCTTTTCCGGACTGAGTGCCCAACGCGTATGAGCACATGAATGTTCATGAACGCATGAACCCCCAAATGCAATGTGTGTGTGAGCCCCCTGCATTCACCCTCCCCACATGAGTGGTAGAGACCTGAAGACCAGCTTGCTGGCAGGAGGTACACACACATGCACGACGGAGTTGAGCTGGGGTGATGGCTCGCGTGCCCACAGAGAGGGCACTGCATCCGACCTTTGGCATGTGTGCCATAGATTCACCAACACTGCTCTATACTATTCTGGACAGTTGGCTGTCCAGTCTTTTCTTTAAAACCTCCATTGTTGGAGCATTTACAACTTCTGAAGGCAGGTGGTCCCACTGGTTAATTATCCTCACTATTAGGAAGTTTCTCCTCAATTCCAGGTTGTTTCTCTCTTTGATTAGTTTCCATCCAGTGTTTCTTGTCTTGCCTTCTGGTGCTTTGGAATGCTGATGCCACCTCCTTTGTGGCACCCCTCAAATATTGGAATACTGCTATTGTGGCATCCCTAGTCCTTTTCTCTAGACTGGCCATGCCCAATTCATGCAACTGTTCTTCATATGTTTTTGTCTCCAGGCCCTTAATCATCTTAGTTGTTTTTCTCTGCACTTTTTCCAAAGTCTCAACATCTTTTTTTGCAATTTGGTGACCAACACTGGATGCAGGTGTGGCCTTACTAAGGCTTTATAAAGGAGTACTAATACTTCACATGATTTTGATTCTATGCCTCTGTTTATACCATCAAGGATTGTATTAGCATTTTTGGCTGCTGCCACACATTTCTGGTTCCTGTTTAAGGGATTGTCCATTAGGATTCCAAGGCCCTTCTCAAAATTATTGTTTTTGAGCCAGGTTTCACGTAATCTGTACTTGTACATTTGGTTTTTCCTGCCTAGGTGTAAAACCTTGCTTTTCTCCACATTAAAAGTCATGTTATTGGGTAGGGCCCATTGTTCAAATCTGTCAAGATCGCTTTGAATCTTGAGCTTGTCTTCTGAGGTGTTGGCTATTCTTGCCAGCTTGTATCATCTGCGAATTTGATGAGTTCCCCTTCTATACCCTCCTCTAAATTGTTTACGAAGAAATTGAAGAGAACTGGCCTAAAACAGAACCGTGAGGTACTCCACTGCTTTCCTCCCTCCATGTAGTTGTAGTTCCATTAAAGGCTGCACATTGAGTGTAATTTGTCAGCCAGTTACAAATGCAACTAGTGATGATGCTGTCTATCCCACATTTTTCTAGTTTACCAACAGGTACAGGTTGTAGTCTACTTTGTTGAATGCCACCATGAAGTCTAAGTATACTATGTCCACAGCATTTCGCTGGTCTAGTAATTTAGTCACTTTATCAAAGAATGAAGTAAGATTGATTTAGTATGTTCTGTTTTTAACAAACCTGTGCTGACTTCTAGGCATACATTTATTCGTTTCTAGATGTAGAGATAACATCTGCCAGCTCCTTCAGTACTCTCTTGTTTTTTTTCTTTTTCAGTGGTATTGTGTTGGACTGGGCTTTTATGATCATATTTTTCAGAGTTTCCCACACTTCTTGAGGTGTTTTTCTCCTTTAGGATTTTTATCTGTGGAATTTTTCTTTGGGTCTCTCTGAGTTTATTAAAACCAGCTCTTCTAAAATTTAAGATACCGGTTGGATTATATTCTATTGTTTCTGTTTGCATTATATTGAATTCCAACATGACGTGGTCACTCTCACCCAAGATTATAGCAACTTCAACTCCCTCTATCACTTCTTCTCTGTTAGCAAGAATTAGGTCCAGTATAGTTTTCCTCTTTCCTCTTTTGGATGATAAAGTT